CGCCATGGCCAGGCTTGTGCTGACAGGTACACACACACACACTCACTCACTCACTCACTCTCTCTCCGGAGCATGACATCCGGGCTTAGAGTGGAAACATCTGGTAGAACTCTCTGCCTCTTGTGGTTGAGAAGGCGATTCACCTGCAGAGCCCCTGCGGGGGCTGGATTTCGCTTTGTGTGGAGGCCCCGCCCCCAGAAAGGCCAGGCTCCCGGGATCCCCACTGCGTCCGAGCCACCCTTCCCCTCCTCTCCTTCCTGAGCCGGAGAGCTCTCTTCCACTTCTGTGGGCCTCAGTCTCCTCATCTGCGAAATGAGGAGCTCTATACAGAACCTCCCTCATGCTGCTGTCAGTAGCATCTATGTTTCTTTTCAGATAGATTTTACTTTTCTGATCTTTGAAGAGCTTTGCATCAGCCTGTGCAAAGACAGCTGTTCCTGTTTACCCTTTTTGGAACAACTGTCATTTAAGGAGAGAGGCCGCAGGGCTGGTTAGGGGCAGGGCGCGTGTGGCCAGGACTCGCTGCCATCCCAGCTGTGCCCACACCACAGAGCTTAGCTGCTGGGTCGCTGGGCCTTCCCTGACACGAGACATGCCGCGATTTCCTTGTGATTCCGTAGTCCTCTCTCTGGCTTGCTGGGAATGGTGGGGCACGCAGGCAGGAGCAGCCAGGGATGAGCGGTTATGGTCTCCTGCATCTGAGGCCCGGAGGGGCATGTTTCTCACGGGCTGTGCTTGGCCTTCTCTCGGAGCTGCAAGCTCTCTCAGGAGACCGTAGCTTATTGGTAGGTCTCTTGTTTGACTCAGTAGTGTCTTTTGCACATTCATGTGTGAATTCATTTCTGTGTCAGTTGTAAGGAGCCCTTTGTGAGTGACAGGCACTGGGCTCGCATTGGGAAGGTGGTAGCCACAGCCTGTGCCTGGTGCCACCCTCCCTGCTTACCCATTTGACCCTCACTGTCCCTTGAAAAGGTGCTGTATCACCCCCATTTACAGAAGGAGGGGACCTACACCTCATCCTGTTTTAATGTGACAGCCCAGGGTCCACACTCTTAACCACTGTCTGCATGGCTGTGGTGACAGCTGAGTCCCCGCCTGAGGCCAGGCACCTGCCCTTCATTAGCTCCCCAGTCGAGGCTCTCTACAATCTGACATGCTTTCTGTCCCAATGTATAGGCCTTTTGTTCTTACCGGATGGACCCGGCTGTACCTGTTTTACATTTCATGTCCTCTGGGGAGCCAGAGAGCAGGCCCAGGGCACAGCAGGAGCTCATTGGAGGCCTGCTGAGTTGAGCTGGCCTCTGCACTGCATTAGTCACCTTGTGCTTCTGGGACAAAATACCTGGTGCTCACAATTTAAAGGAGAGGAGGTTTATTTAGACTCATGGCTACAGCGCTGCCAGTCCGTGGCCAGCTGCGCCAGGCAGCAACACCACGTGGACGGGCCTGGTGGAGCAAAGCTGCTTGGCTTATGCCTGCCAGGAAGCAGGGAGCACAACGCAGAGCCAGAGCATCAGGGGACACTGTCCAGCCCTACGTGATGACGTCCTGAGAGGCCCATTGCTTCCTGAGGTTCCGCAGTCATCTTTGCTGGTCTCTGCCTTGGCTGTCCCCCTTTGCTGCCATCTCCGCCTCTACCCATCCTTCTCATTTGCTGCAGCAAAACTGCGTGCACATAAGACTGGGCTGAAAGACTAAGTCCTGCTGGCCTCCCAGGCCAGGCCGCAGCCTGGGCGGGAGCAGGGGCCTTGTGGGCGCTCCTCATGTTGGTTCCTGGCTGCTAGAAGAGCCTGGGCAATGCTGAGTGGCCCCAAGGACTGGAGGTGTCTCTGGTTTACACGTTAAGCTCCCACAGAGCTGGCAGGGCCACGCCTATCCCGGAAGCCCTGGCGGGTAAAGTCTTTTCCCAGCACCCGGTGAGGGCTTCCTCGTGCTGCCCCAGCCAACACCCAAGCTCTCTGCGTTTTCTTCTGCATTACTCCTTGCAGCCCCTGGCACTTCCTAGATGCTCCCTGCTGTTTATGGGATGACCATAAAACTTACCTGTCAGCCTGTGAGAGACAGCTGTGAAGGAAACAGCCTGTGAGGCTGATTTAAATTGCATAGTTGTTGCTCTCCGGCTGTGTGTTCTTAGGGAAGTTACTTAACCTCTTTGAGCTGTAGTTTCCTCAGCTGTGAAATGAAGGCAATAATTAGGAGGATTAAATGAGATTGTGCTTGGAGGACCTCACTGTCCAGTGCTGACACACGGGAGGGGCTGAAATGATGCTGGCAGCCGTGATAGTCAGGCCTGGTCATCTCTCATCTCCGTTACGTCTGGGTAGAGTTGTCCTCACCTGCTCAGGTCGGCAGCGCCCGTAGGGTCTCCCCAGACCGGCAAGTCCAGCCTGGCGCTCCCAGACCAAGCCCACGGGCACAGCCCTCCGATCTGGCCAAACTCCTAGAGAGGTCATTTTGGTCAGCGGAAGCAGCTTTTCTCCTCCTTGAGAGGTGCCACCATCTTCTGCACGTGAGCTACGCCCTCCGCCTGGAAGAATTGGTTGTAGGTGCTGGGTTTTGTTTTTAAGCAAATAGGCATCTTTAGTGAATGGGGCACTGGCTGCTTCTGGATGATAGAAATGTTCCTTTGGTGGCCGGGGCCGGGTTTCAGCACTGTCAGCCTCAGTGGCACTCGTCCTCTCATTAGTAGAAGGTCTGTGTATTTCTCTGTGTTGTTCATACTTCACACACACACACACACACACACACACACACACAGAGTGAGAGAGAGAGAGAGTGCCCCCAGGTAATCTGGGATGAGATGTGGTTTGGAAGGCCTGGTGGCATCAAGTGGACGGCCTCACTCGGAGAGAGCTGGCCTCCAAGCTTGGTTCTGCTGCTTTCCAGCAGCTGCCTTAATTTTGCTGAATGTGGCTTTCTCACCTGTACAATGACGATGGCATTAAAAATCCTACAAGGAAAGGGACCCCACACCTGGCCCGCCAGACAGTGAGCGGCTTGTGGAGCCGCGGGGTGTGAGAGCCCGGCTCTGGGTGCGTGGCTGACAGCGGCCCTTAGACGGCAGCTGGGCTGGGCTGCTGACAGCAATACAGGTGGGGTTTGGAGGAGTCTCTCACTGGGGATCCCTAGTAACCTTATAATCGTTACTTAATGGGGGCCTTTCTGTTGCCCCAGGCACTCCAGCTCTGCCCGCTCAGCAGTTTCCTGTTCTAGCCCCGTCCCTGCTGTGACGGTCCCTGGTGCAGCCTTGCTGTGGGGACAGAAATGTCACCTGAGAAACTCTGCTGCCCTGGAGAAACAGCACAAGCTGTCTCAAGAGCCAGCCCTGCGAGTCTTTGTTCTCAGAGCACGTTTTTAATTAACTGGCCCAATGTAAATTAAAGCTTGGAATTTGGGTCAGTAGAGGGTTATTGGGCTTTCTGCACAGATATGCCAGCTCCGGGCTGGGGTGTTTGCGGGGGGTGGGGGGGTCCTCTGAAACCTAAAATACAAATGGAAGCCAAATAAAACTGTATGGGACCGAGCTGGACACTGCAGGTCAAGTGTCAGAGGCACCCTTCGGATGAGGAGAGAGCCCAACCATGGTCTGTGATCTCTGGTCCTCTTGAGTCAGACCCTCGTCAGCCTGGAGGTAAAGCAGCCGTGGGCGACAGTTGGGCACGGGCATGCGCATGGGCAGCACCTGATAGGTACAGTATAGCAGTTGCAGATCTGTACAGCGTAGCACTCCTCGCTGTACTTGCTTCCTTGGGAAGAGCCGGGCACTGACTTAAGAGTTCTACATACCACAGTCCTGACAGGCACAGGGGCTGTG